CGGGGAGGATGTGGTCGAGATCATCAAAGATTCTAACCCTGTGGACAAGACCAAGCTGGACCCGCAGAAGGTGAGGGCTTCCAACCATCCCCCCAGGGTCCCCCAAATCCTATATTCAGAGACTCCATGTACTACATCCTATGGCCCCTCAAATCCTATTTCTCTAGGAAACTCCAAAGCTTGTCTCTCTCAGGGACCCCAAAATCCTATTCCTCAGGGATTCCCATACATACAGATGAGATGTGAAAGTGTTAGTGGCCCAGTCGTGTCTGACTCTTTGCAACTCCATGGACTGTAGCCCACCAAGCTCCTCTGTCCATGGAATTCTCCAGGCAAGAATACTGGAGTGGGTAGCCATTTCCTTCTCCAGGGGATCTTCCCAACCCAGGGGTTGAGCCCTGGTCTCCTGCATTGCAGGCAGATTCTTTACTGTCTGAGCCACCAGGAAAGCCCCAGATGAGACATAGGGAGACCTGAGAACCCAAATCCCTGAGACCCAAAACCCGCAGACCCAGGGAGGCTCAACCCCCTTTCTACAGGGATGGGGCCCCTGTGGGAGGCTTGCAAACCCCAAGTATGTGTGTTGGGGCTGAAACCCTTACCCCTGGGCCCCGCGCCCCAGGCCTACATCCAGATCACATACGTGGAGCCGCACTTTGACACCTATGAGCTCAAGGACCGGGTGACCTACTTCGACCGCAACTATGGGCTGCGAACCTTCCTGTTCTGCACACCCTTCACACCAGACGGGCGTGCTCACGGCGAACTGCCAGAGCAGCATAAGCGCAAGACGCTGCTGAGCACGGCCCACGCCTTCCCCTACATCAAGACCCGAATCCGTGTTTGCCACCGGGAGGAGGTGGGTGGTCAGGGGTGGCCCAGGGAGTGGGGAGGTGAAGAGACCCCAGGCCAAGGGAGGCGGAGGACCCCTAAATTCCAGCCTCCAGGCCCTAGTCGGCAGACTTAAACCCCTCCCTCCAGACCTCGCTGACCCAAGTCTGGACTAGAACCAGGCCAGAGTTAAGTCAGCAGCACACCAAAAGCAGCTGAACCTTGACCCTTACCCTCCCAGACCCAGGCAGGCAGGAGCCCCCAGACCCAGTTCCTTACACAGCCTCTTGGAATGGACTGTAGCCCACCAAGCCCACCCTGCGAACCCCCAGCTAAGATCCAAGCTGCCACGGGCTGGTTTGGGGCAGGGCGTCTCCAGGCACCAGCCGGCACATGCCCATCCCTACCCCACAGACGGTGCTGACCCCGGTGGAGGTAGCCATCGAGGACATGCAAAAGAAGACTCGGGAGCTGGCCTTCGCCACTGAGCAGGACCCTCCTGATGCCAAGATGCTGCAGATGGTGCTGCAGGGCTCTGTGGGGCCCACTGTGAACCAGGCACGACCGGCGGGGGAAGCAGGCTGCCCAAAGCCCCACCAGGGGCAGGGGGTGGTGGTGTGCAGACAGCCTCATGAGCCCGTGTCACCCCACAGGGACCTCTGGAGGTAGCCCAGGTGTTTCTGGCTGAGATCCCAGAAGACCCCAAGCTCTTTAGGCATCACAACAAGCTGCGGCTCTGTTTCAAAGACTTCTGCAAAAAGTAGGCCTGACCCCATCCCCGGACAGGGCCCCTCTAACCACCCCCCCATTATGACTCTCTGCCTACCTGATTCCCCAGTACAGCCAGTCTATCAACCTGACCCCCCTTTATGGCCTCTCTGATTTCCATTAAGTCATGTCCACCATCAATGACTCAGTGGACATGAGTTTGAGCAAGCTTCAGGTGATAGTGAAGGATAGGGAAGCTTGGTGTGCTGCAATCCATGGGGTTGCAGAGAGTCAGACACGACTGAGCGACTGAACAACAATATTCCACCTATCAGACCCCCATTATTACTGCTCTGCATGCCTGACCCCAGCTCATGGCCTCCCCACCTCTCTTTTTTTTTTTTGGTTGCACTGGATTTTCATTGCTGCACACAGGCTTTCTCTAGTTGTGGCAAGTGGGGATTACTTTTTGTTGCACATGGGCTTCTCATTGCACTGGCTTCTCGTTGCGGAGCACAGGCTCTAGGGCCCACTGGCTTCATTAGTTGCAGCAGGCAGACCCAGTCATTGCAGTGTGCCGCTCTACCGCGCGTAGACTTAAGTAGTTGTGGTGCCTGGGCTTAGTTGCTCCACAGCATGTGGAATCTTCCCAGACCAGGGATCGAACCCAGGTCCCCTGCATTGGCAGGCGGATTCTTTACCACTGAGCCATCTGGTCCTCAGGTGTGAGGATGCGCTGCGGAAGAACAAAGCCCTGATTGGGCCGGACCAGAAGGAGTACCATCGGGAGCTGGAGCGCAACTATTCCCGCCTGCGGGAGGCCCTGCAGCCTTTGCTCACACAGCGCCTGCCCCAGCTGCTGGCGCCAAACACAGCCAGCCTCAGGTGCCTAACCCGAGTCCCCGGCCCACCCCGGAGAGGGCGAGACGGGGCAGGCAAGGCCCAGCAGAGTGTGGGGGCTGCCATACACGTGCCCATCAACACGGGTGCTCTGGGCTTTGCACATGCATGTGAACACTGGCACATGTACATAATATTCAAGCTCTGAGCCACCATTTCTGATCCTGGCTAGGTTATTTCTCAGGTGTGTGACTTCATTTTTCTGAACCTCAGTTTCCACATCCGTCAAATGGGTATGATTCATATCTCCAGTGGTGGATTCTATGAAGGAATCTCCACTTCCATGGCTGGATCAGAACCAACATTAAAGGAGCCAGAATGACCATAGAAGGATCTTTGGGGGAAGGGGAGAAGGGAAAGGAAAGTAGTGGGAGGAAGGGGAGGAGGTGATGGCTGGAGAGCATTGTGGAGTTGGGGACCATGTGGCCATGTTGATCTCCTTCGTTCCTCCCTCCCCCAGGAACTCCTTGAACAGAGCAAGTTTCCGGAAGACTGACCTCTGAGCCCGCAGGGCCTGAAGCCACTCCCAGAGGAACGAGGACCCTGGCCTCAGCTACCTGTGCCTTCCTGACAGTCTCTCCCACTGCCCACTTGGCTGTGAGGCGACCACATCGTGCACGGGGCTGGGCCCTCTGTTCCTCTGTTCTCATCTGTGTGCACTGATGCTTCTTGCCTTTTCTAATTTAAAATGGTTTTTGTAAACAGCCTGTGTGGTGTGGTCCCTGGGGGCTGGGTCCCAGGTGCATACTCGACCTAATTGTTGATGACGGACACTGAGAACTACTCGGGTGCAACAGGCAGCAGTGACGACCCATGCAAATTCCTGCCCTTGTAGAGCTGACATTCTAGTGGGGAAGGCAACACACAATGTCATGTGTGTTCATGGGGAATAATAGTGACATTTGTTAAAGCCTTGCCCAGAGCCCAGACCTGTATAATTGCCTCCCAGAAAGACACTGTCCCATCTAATGGGCCTGGCTGCATGAGGGACAGCCTGCTTCATGATTACAGAATCATCTCAACGCCACTGTCAGGCAGACAGCATTCTTATCCCGGTTTAAAGATGGGGAAACTGAGGCAGCCAGTAGTTAAAGGCTTGGTGGTGTTGAGATTGGAAACCAGGTCTGGCTGGCCAAGGAGCCCAGGCCTTGGCTGAGGTCTGAGGCCTCGCGCTGACCCACCCCTCCCTTCCCGCCCCTCGGTGGTCACGTCACAGTGTACCAGCCCTGCTCTGGGCGGCTGGGGGAGGGGTGACCTCCCGCAGTCACCACCACCACCGCCGCCCTCCCTCCAGGAGCTGGACTCCGGCCAGCCCCGCCCCCTGCAGCAGCCCAGCTGCAGCGGGTCGGGGAAGACAGCAGTAGGGGAACACTGTCGCAGGGACTGGAGGAGGGGACGAGGCCGGACACCCCCACGCGCGCGCACACACCTGCCGTCCAGGTGCGATACGGAGCGGGCGAGGCGAGTAGGACCCGGGTTGGGTCGGGGTTCGAGTCCGGTTCGGGGTTCGAGCGTGGTCCCCACCCCACCCCACCCCACTCTCAAGCCCGGGGCGCGATCTCACCGGTCTCTAGTTAGCCGCTGCCTCCAACTCCATCATCTATGCGCAAACTTTCCGGACTTGAGTGTCGCGGTCCCCGCACCTCTGCGCGGTCCTTATCTTTGACCCTGTCCCTGCTGGTCTCTCCCAACCCCATCCTCCATCCGTACCCCCCTATCCCTTCGACCCATCACTGCCTCCCCGCTGCCCCTCTCCCCTGTCTCCATCCTCGTTTCTGCCTCTGTCCCGTCCCCCTCCTCCCTCCCTTGTCCTCCCTCGCCCTCCTCCGCGGCCGGGCCGGAGCCAGGCCCCAGGCGGCGGGAAGGCGGCCGGGCGTCCGGCCGGGCTGGGCCTCGGCCTAGCGGCTGGGCCGGCGTGGGGAGCTGCAGCTGTTTGCCATTAGCTGGGGACCCCGCTAGCCCCGCCCCCTCCCTGCACGGGGCGGGGTCCTCCTCGCCCCGGTCTTTGGGTCTTTGGGACACGGGGAGAGGGGCGAGAAGACCCCAGAGACGTCTAGGTTGGCCTGGGACCGGGGCTTTAGGGAGACCCCGTTGGACATCGGACCGCCTCCTTGGGACCCCACGTTACTTCCCTGAGCCACCTCCCTGTCCCCTCTTGGAGTGGCCTGTCCCCCTTTCCATCTCTCTCTGTCCTGTCCCGTGTGCTCGCCTGCTCCAGGGGTCTCATAAAAGGAGAGAAGCCTGAGCCACAGACACCCATCAGCACTACCCTATCCCCCACCATCTGCTGTCTCCACCTTTAGCCAGTCACTGACCCACATGGAGCGTGGCCACATGGCTTCAGACCTGTCTCTCTGCCTGGAAAATGGGTGTGTGGGTGGCTTGGCTGGCAGTGAGGGGAATCTACCAAGCTAAGGATTCAAATCAAGACCCAGCTACTTCTTCGGGCTAAGTGATCCTGGGCAAGGCACTGTGTATTTCTTTCTTTTTATTTTGGACGCCCCACGTGGTATGTGGTATCTTAGTTCCCTGACCAGGGATCGAACCCATGCACCCTACATTGGAAGCATGGAGTTGTAACCATTGGATCACCAGGGAAGTCCCCATTGTGTGTTTCTGTGTCCCAAAACACTTCATCTTACCCAAGACACCGTAATACACGGTGATAACTACTCCCCTGGTAGGGTTGTCTTGATGATCAAAGGAGTTGCCCGGGTGATAATTATAGTTATACTATTATTCACCCCACCCCCTTCACCTCCAGGGGTCTCCACAGGGGTACCATTCCTGCTTCCTGCCTCAAGTCTCTCTCAGGTCCCCAGAAAATATTTTCGATCACTTCCCTGTTGTGCAGGGGGTGACCCTTCAGGCAGGTGGAAAGCCAGGTTTCCTACAATTGGATGACTGTGTGTTCCAGGCACTGAAAGGAGAAGTGAGGACAGAGACGTAGAGAGACAGGGCGGGAGAAGTGCAGAGAGACAGAGACGTGGAGAGACAGAGAGAGACGAGGAGAGAGACAAGCAAGAGGCTAAGCAAGGAGGACGTGAGACAAGACAAGCTCGGCTGCCCCTGGAGCTCCGGCCCCGCCTTCATGCCCAGCAGGTGCTCCACCTGGCCCATCCTCCCAGGTACCCACTGCCCTGGAGCCACAGCCTGAAAAGAGTGGGATGGGCCAGAACCTCTGCAGCAGGGTGGTTAGAGGTCAGACAGCAGAAAGGACTGGCCAAACTCGGTCAGAGTGTGGGGGACGGAAGTACCCAGGCCATCCTCCAGGTCTGGGGGTGCAGGTTAATGAGAGGCCTTGATTGTCCCTCCCCTTTCCAGCCTCCGGCACCCCCTCTTACTTCCTCCCTGCACCCCCATGACTTCCAGGGCCTCCACCCGCCTTCTATCCTTGCTTTGCCCCCGAGCCCCCGAGCCGGACGCATCCTGGGGGGGGAGCAGGAAGTTCTCGTGTAGCCCGGCAGCGAAACTGTTTATTTTTAGAGAAAATTGTTTCCATAAAGGGGAAAGGCTTTGCTCCTTGCTGCCTCCCCCCAACTTTCCCTACCAGCCCCCCGCCACTGCCCAGCCGGACCCAGCTCTTGTTTGGGGGTCTCCTACCCTTTGCTTTCTCTTTGTGCCCCTGTGTCTCTGTCTCCCCAGATCCTTGCAGGAAGGCTGGCTATCTCCCCATTAGTGCCCCCATCTGCCCATCTAAGCCCCCATCTGTCCTGGTAGCCAGCTCTTGCCTGGGGTGAGAGGAGGGGGCACAGGAAGGGTGGCGCCTGTCAGACTTCAGCACCCCACCCCCCCTGCCCCTGGTGGGGGGCCTTGGAGAGGCGGGGCTGTGGGAACAGCTGGAGCCTGTCCAGGGGCTGGACAGATGTGCGGGCGGACCGTGAGGTTTGGTTTCTTTGTTCCAGGCTGTGGGGGCCCCCCCAACCCTTTCCACAGGCAGGAGGGGTGTGTGCCTGTGAGAGGGTCCCACGCCCAGGGAGAGAGGGAAGTTGGGGAGGAGGGGGAGTGGGGAGGGGTGGCCACCTCCCCTCCCCCTGCAGACTCCTGACTCTGGGTGTCATCACACCCTCTCCCGCCTCTTCCCAGGTAAACCTCAGCCGGTGCTGCAGGTGGTCTGACCCACAGTCCCCCCCAGAGACACCCGAGGAGGTCTGCAGGCAAGAGGATGGCCCAGGTGCTGCACGTGTCAGCCCCCTTCCCAGGTCAGGGCTCTCGTGGGGAAGAGGGCCCAGCCTCGGGGTTGGAGGTGGGGCATGAGGGACACAGGCCCGGGGCCGTGGCGAGCTCTGTCTGGACCTCCCCGAGGCCCCCGAGGACACAGGCCTGTGTGGCCTGGAGGAGGGAAGGGGTTCTGACTTGAGCGGGGCTGAGGGTAGGACACAGCTCTATCCTGAGGGCCTGGATGGGGACAACTCAGTTCTGCCCTCGACAGTCTAATGGAAGAGACAGGGTCTTTCAGGAAAGGCGGTTGGTCTGAGATGGGAGGCAGGGTCCTGACTCAGTTGGGAGGTTGGAAGCACAGCCCTGCCCTGGGAGGGTCCACAGGGGACACAAAGCCTTGCCTTGGGCTGGGGAGGTGGAGAGGGGCCTGAGACTGGGGTGGGGAAGGGGTCTGAGACTTACACCAGAGCATTGAGCAGCCAGTGGTGTCCCATCCTTTGGGCCAATAATCCATGACTCACCCAGGGGCAGACTCACCCAGTTTGCCCCCAGGAGGGGACCACGGTGTTCAGAGGGCTGGCTTTTCTCTCTATCTCAGGGACCCCCGGCCCAGCCTCCCCGCCTGCTTTCCCCTCTAAAGAGCCTGAGGTCCCCTACTCGGTGGAGACGCCCTATGGCTACCGCCTCGACCTGGACTTTCTCAAGTACGTGGACGACATCGAGAAGGGCCACACGCTGCGGCGGGTGGCCGTGCAGCGCCGACCCCGCCTGGGCTCCCTGCCCCGCGGGCCCGGCTCCTGGTGGACGTCCACCGAGTCTCTCTGCTCCAATGCCAGCGGGGACAGCCGCCACTCAGCCTACTCCTATTGCGGCCGTGGCTTCTACCCGCAGTACGGCGCCCTGGAGACACGCGGTGGCTTCAACCCACGAGTGGAGCGCACGCTGCTGGACGCCCGTCGCCGCCTGGAGGACCAGGCAGCCACCCCTGCCGGTCTGGGCTCCCTGACCCCCAGCGCGGCCGGCTCAACGAGCTCACTGGTGGGAGTGGGGCTGCCGCCCCCGACACCGCGGGGATCAGGACTGTCCACGCCAGTGGCACCCAGCGCCGGGCACCTGACCCACGTGCGGGAGCAGATGGCGGGGGCCCTACGGAAGCTGCGGCAGCTGGAAGAGCAGGTGAAACTGATCCCTGTGCTCCAGGTGAAGCTGTCGGTGCTGCAGGAGGAGAAGCGACAACTCACGGTGCAGCTCAAAAGCCAGAAATTCTTGGGCCATCCTGCAGGAGCCCGGGGCCGTGGCGAGCTCTGTCTGGACCTCCCCGAGGCCCCCGAGGACCCAGTGGCCCTCGAGACCCGGAGCGTGGGCACCTGGGTCCGAGAGCGGGACTTGGGCGTGCCTGATGGGGAGGCAGCCCTGGCCGCTAAGGTGGCCGTGCTGGAGACCCAGCTCAAGAAAGCACTCCAGGAGCTACAGGCAGCTCAAGCCCGGCAGGCCGACCTCCAGCCCCAGGCCTGGCCGCCGCCAGACAGCCCAGTCCGTGTGGACACCGTCCGGGTGGTGCAGGGGCCAAGAGAGGTGGAGGTGGCGGCCAGCACAGCGGCGGGAGCCCCTGCTCAGCGGGCCCAGAGTCTGGAGCCCTACGGGGCAGGGCTGCGGGCCCTGGCGACATCCAATGGGCCCGAGAGCCCCCCTGTGTTCCGCAGCCACGAGGTGATGGAGACAGTGTCCCCAGTGCCCACTGCATCCACCAGCAACGTCCACCAGGTGAAGAAGATCAGTATCACAGAGCGCAGCTGTGATGGGGCAGCAGGTGAGCCGTAGTAGGTGGGGGCAGACGGTGCAGGGTCCCTCCTTTTCCTCTGAATGCTGGGGTCCAGCCCCCGTCCTATTCTTCCACCAGCAGTCAGAACCTCAGTTTCTTCATCTGTGCAAAGGGGACACTTGTGCTGCTGACTCAGTCCCTCTAGGGACCATGTGAAGAAGTTAGGTGTCTGAAGAATTAGGTGTGTGCTCATGTCGAGAACATTATAAATGTGTGGACAATAGGAGGTATTTGGGTGAAGGTCCCCAAGGCTGTCAGTTGCTGGGCAAAAACAAATTCTTCCCTGATTGGCAAAAAATCAGTCTCAGGCCATGAAAAAGGAAATGTGTTGTTCATGTAACTCAGTGACAGCTTCAGGCATAGCTGGATCCAGGTACTCAAATAGCCTCAGGAATCTCTACTTCCCTCTTTCTCTTCCTCTGTGCATCCTGGAAGCTTCTCTCTCAGGCAGGCAGAGGTGATCACACCACTCCTGGCATCTGTTGAGGCAGCTCATAAAAGGAAAGGGAGCCCCTCAATCCAGATAGCACCAGTAAAAATCCCAGGGGTGACCCTTCTTGGTTGGCTTGGGTCATTTGCTCCTCACTGAGCTAATCACTGAGTTTCTCGCTGCCCAGACCCAGATCCTGGGGGTGGAGGAGCCCCACCCAAGTCCAGAGGGCGGAAGGAGATGCTCCCTGGAGGAACTGCTGAGTCCTCATGCTCAGAAAAGGGATGTGGGATGTTCAGGATAGCAGCTGCCCCACCACCGCCGTCCTGAGGCCCCTGGGAGACGCTGCCAGAATGACTCATAATCCTAACAGCTGTTCTTTATCTAATACCAGTCTGGTGCTGACGGCTCTGTTAAGTGTTTCACCCACCGAGGAGGTTAAGGCGGTGGGCTGTGTAGCAAGGTCACCTGGGTTTAAATTCCACTCCTTACTTGTGTGACCTGAGTGATCAGCTTCACTTCTCTGGCCTCAGCTTCTCTGTCTGTGAAGTGGCCTTGTAACGTTCCACACCTCTAGGATTCTTCTGAATTAGTGCATACATACAGTAAGCACTTAACCATTGTGTGTCACTACTTCGGCTACTATTAGTTATTGTGTCACTAATCTGTGTCCGATTCTTTGCAACCCCGTGAACTGTAGCCTGCCAGGCTCCTCTGTCCATGGGATTCTCCAGGCAAGAATACAGGAGTGGGTTGCCATTCTCTTCTTCAGGGGATCTCCCTGACCCAGGGATCAAACCCGGGTCTCCTGCATGTCAGGCAGATTCATCTGAGACACCAGGGAAGCCCAGAATACTGGAGCAGGTTGCTATTTCCTACTCCAGGGGATCTTCCTGATCCAGGGATTGAACCCATGTTCTTTTGTGTCTCCTGCATGGGCAGGCAGATTCTTTACCACTGTGCCATCTGGGAAGCCCCCCTACTAATGATTTTCTGGCCAATTCTTGTCATAACTGGGGAAACTGAGGTTTGCAGAGAAGTTTCACATGTCCCTTGTCAAACATCCAGGATCTGAGACCAGGCTGTTCTGAACCTATAGCATGCCTCAAAGATTCAGCCCATTTCCTCATCTAAGTTTCAAATAATATCAGGTAGCCAGAGCCCTGTAGAGGCACCAGAGGGTACAAGCTGGAGGGCGGGGTCCCAGCTGTGTTTTCTTGCTTCCCCATGTTCTTCCTGGCCAGCTCTGGACTCCACCCTGTGTTCTGTGTCTATCCCAAACACCCAGCCCTGCGACCCTGGCCCCCAGCCAGAGGCCCCGCCCAGCCCAGCCTCTGGATCTCTTAAGAGGCAACCACCATTCCAGACGTGCCTCCCAGCACAGCCACGGGGCCTCCTGCCTGCAGGACACACAGACCTCGCCATGTCCCCACCTTGTGCAAGCGTCATCCCCCGGAAGTTCTTTCTGTGTCTCACTTAACTCCCTCTTGCTGCAGCCAGCCCCAGTCTCTGCCTCGCTTGGGCGGAACTGGCATGTGCTAATTCATTTCATTGCCTTCTCATCCAGCGAATATTTACTGAGTGACTGCCATGTGCTAGATTTTTCTAGGCACTGGGGACACAGCAGTGAACAAGACAGACAAAAAGCCCCTGCAATAAACAAATAGCCCACCAGAAACAAGCGAAGAAAAATCATTTCAGAGAACGCGTGTTTGAAGCAAATAAAACAGGGATGTGGGATGGGTGGTGCTTGGATGGCGTGGAGGCCCATGTTCAAATTCTGGTTTCCTTGCTCCCTAGGTTCGTGCTCTTGAGCGAGCTGGTTAACCTCTCTGTGCCACATTTGCAAACTGGGGGCGAGGGTGGGGCGGGGTGGTGGCGCTGACCACCCAATGGCTCCAGATCAGTGTCAGCCGAAATGCAGCGGTTGATGCTGAGTGTTCAAGATGGTATCAGGCACTGGTAGGTGCTCACGGGTTAGCTGTTGGCTCTTTGAGCCAAGATGTGAGAGAAAAGAAGCACCTGGGTGGTTTCTTGACAAATGTTTTGTTTTTCTGTTTTTTGGCTCCACTGCACGGCATGTGGGATCTTAGTTCCACACCCGGGGATTGAACTCGTGCCCCCTGCAGTGGAAGCACAGGGTCTTAACCACTGGACTGCCAGGGAAATCCTTGACAAATGTTTCGACCACTTAGGTTGGTCATGCATAGGTCAATAAGGAGGCTGGGAGGAGTCCAGCCTTTCTGCCACCTTTCTGTCCAGCCTTTCTGCCAGAATTTGCTAGCTGCAGCAAAGGGCAGGAAGGGTGAGAGGCAGCCGTCACCTCAGGCTGGCAAAGGTGGATGAGACAGGCAGAGGCCCGGGACCCCCATAAACTCTCATTCACTCCTCACCTTTCAAAGGCACCACAAAGAGATTCCTGGGAGAAGGGGCAGCCAGGCACCTGCATCCATAGGGTCTCTCCAAGGCTTTGAAATTTCCTGTGTTATTGTTTGAAACACAGCCCTATGAATGCAATTCATATTCTTTGTGGAAGGTTTGGAAAGTACAGAAGACTCTGTAAAGTGAAAGTCGCTCAGTCGTGTTGGACTCTTTACGACCCCATGAACTATACAGTCCATGGAATTCTCCAGGCCAGAATACTAGAGTAGGTTGCCTTTCCCTTCTCCAGGGGATCTTCCCAACCAGGGATCAAACCCAGGTCTCCCACATTGCAGGTGGATTCTTTATCAGCTGAGCCACAAAGGAAGCCCAAGAATACTGGAGTGGGTAGTTTATCCCTTCTCCAGTGGATCTTCCTGACCCAGAAATTGAGCCAGGGTCTCCTGCATTGCAGGCAGATTCTTTACCAACTGAGACAGAAGACTCTAGAACACTGAATAAGAGCTCCATAAACCCACCACTGCCCAGACACAGCTGCTATCAACACTTCTTCTTTCCTTCCGATTTTTTTTTCTCATGAAGAAAATAATATGTATTTTTGGAGTCTGGCAACATGTAACTGATGGAATTTGTTGTGTTGCCTTATTTTCTATGTAAAAGCATTTAGGCAGCCCTTACAGTGGGCCAGGGCATTATGTGATGTCCTTTTTGTATCTTAATTCATTGACACCCCCAGTACTGCTTGGAAGTGGGTGGTGTTTCTATCTCTATTTTACAGATGTGGAAACTGAGGCACTGAGTGGTAAAGGAATTTGTCCATAGTTTTCAAAGCCAGGATTTAAATAATCTGATTTCTTTGATTTAACATTATCCCAGGGACATTCCATCATGTTATTAAAAAATTTTAGGGGAATTCCTTGGTGGTCCAGTGGTTAGGACTCCAAGCTTTCACTGTCGAGGGGTTCAATCCCTTAGTCAGAAAACTAAGATCCTGGAAGCTTCAAGGTGTGGCCAAAAAAAAAAAAAATTACTGGAACATGCTATTTATCTTTTAACAGACTCTTTGTGACTCTTTACTGTACAAAAGAAAGAAGAACGTGTTAGCCTTGTCCGACTCTTTGCAATTCCATGGACTATAGCCTGCCAGGCTCCTCTGTCCATGGAGTTATCTGGAGTGGGTTGCCATTTATTTATTATTTATTGCCATTTATTATTTATTAATACTGGAGTGGGTTGCTATTCCCTTCTCCAGAGGATCTTCCCAACCCAGGGATCGAACGTAGTTCTCCTGCATTGCAGGCAGATTCTTTACCGTCACGAAAGCCACCAAAGGTGCAATGCAGATTTCCTTCTGTGGGAACCTTTCATCTCCTGCTTTTTTCTTTTTGGCTGCCCCATGTGGCTTCCCAAGATCTTAGTTCCTGGACGAAGGATTGAATTTGGGCCCTCTCAGTGAAAACACCGAGTCCTAACCACTGCGCCTCCAGGGAAGTTCCTAGAAGAACATTTTTAAGGACCATGATATCTGTTACCAAATTGCTTTATTCCCCCCAACCCTGCTAACCCCATGCTGTGGACTCTCCCTTCCTGCACTAGTTGGCCAAGTGATTTAAATTTTTTAAAAATTTCTTTTGGACTTAAGGAGTTAATCTAATTGGGCCCAAGAGTTTCACTAGCCCCATGGAGCTAGGCATGGCACCTCTCTTGTTTGACTTTAATTCTTTTTTCACCTTTGTCTTCCACCCTCACTGTTGAGGATTGATAAATATTTTCAGCTTTGCGGGGCATCTGATCTCTGTTTCTATGACTTGACTCAGTCGTGCTCAGTTCTTTTTTCCCCCAGCTTTACTGAGGCATGTTTAATATACAAAAATCTGCATGCTTAAAAAATTTTATTTTGTATTTTTTGTATATAGCTGATTAACAATTTTGTGATAGCTTCTGATGAACAGCAAAGGGACTCAGCCATACATATTTGTGTATCCATTCTCCCCCAAACTCCCTCCCCAGGCAGGCTGCTAAACACTGAGGGCAGAGTTCCGTGTGCTGTATAGTAGGTCCTCGTTGGTTATCCATTTTAAATATTATTTGTGTGTACATGTCCATCCCAAACTCCCTAACTACCCCTTCCCTCATCCTTCCCCCTGCCTCCCTGGCAACCGTAAGTTCATTCTCT